AGCTGCTGGCGAGCTGCAACAGTGAGCTGCTGGCGAGCTGCAACAGTGAGAGCTGCTGGCGAGCTTCAACAGTGAGAGCTGCTGGCGAGCTTCAAAGTGAGCTGCTGGCGAGCTGCAACAGTGAGCTGCTGGCGAGCTGCAACAGTGAGAGCTGCTGGCGAGCTTCAACAGTGAGAGCTGCTGGCGAGCTTCAACAGTGAGAGCTGCTGGCGAGCTTCAACAGTGAGAGCTGCTGGCGAGCTTCAACAGTGAGAGCTGCTGGCGAGCTTCAACAGTGAGAGCTGCTGGCGAGCTTCAACAGTGAGAGCTGCTGGCGAGCTTCAACAGTGAGAGCTGCTGGCGAGCTTCAACAGTGAGAGCTGCTGGCGAGCTTCAACAGTGAGAGCTGCTGGCGAGCTTCAACAGTGAGAGCTGCTGGCGAGCTTCAAAGTGAGCTGGTTCAATTACGCAAAGGATTTATTTTCGAAAAACTTTTTCATCAAATCAAGCGATCAAGCTATAGATTTTGAAAAGAACTAAAATTCGATTGGGTAATTAAACCAATTGGTGTTTGATTGATGCTCAAATTGTGCTGAAATCACCTTGAAAAGTGTAAAAGCCGCTTTCTAGCGCACCAATATTCCAAAAGCTTTTTTCCTTTTTCAATTTTCGTTCCAAATTTCTCGATCGTTCACTGAAAATTCAGCAAAAACTCATTTAAAAACCCTTTTTCGACCTTTTTTATGCGATTTTTCGTCTTTTCATCTTTTCAATTTGTTTCTCGAACGTTCGTTTCACTAAAATTACTTTTTCAAAAGAAAAATTAACTCTACAAAGTTGCGTAACTAAACCATGCGCTTAATGGGTTTATTAATGGCTTTGTTAATGGCTTAATGTCTCTGTTAGTGGCTTAATGTCTTTGTTAATTGCTTAATTTCTTTGTTAATGGCTTAATTTCTTTGTTAGTGGCTTAGTGCCTTTGTGAATGGCTTAATGTCGTTGTTAATGGCTTAATGTCTTTGTTAATGTCTCTGTTAATTGCTTAGTGTCTCTGTTAATGTCTTAATGTCTAATGTCAATTACGCTAGAAAGTCTTGTCCATATTTTTGAGTGGGGGCCTTCCCGTGGGGGCATTTCCTTGGGGGCGTTTCCCTAAGGGCATTTCCATAGGGGCCTTCCCGTGGGGCACTTCCCGTGGGGCATTTCTGTGGGGGCATTTGTGTAGGGGCCTTCCCGTGGGGCATTTCCGTAGGGCCCTTCCCGTGGGCCCTTCCCGTGGGCCCTTCCCGTGGGGCCCTTCCCGTAGAGCATTTCCATGGGGGCACTTCGTAAGTATTCGATCGAAAATCACAATTTGTTGAACCAAAATCGCTTGCGTTTAGACTGCCCGATAGCATTGAACTTGCTCTCTAGGGTGTACTTTGTGACAAGGCGTACCCGCTAGCGCTTTGGCGAACTGGAGTTGCTATAAAAGATCGCGATAAAAGCGTCGGTTCAATTACCCACATCATACAAAAAGTACAAAGTACATTTCACATACAAAAAGTTGCACAGTTTCAATTACGCAACAGATTTTGAAGAAATTTTCACGCCATCGTTAAGCCAATTGGAAAAGAAATCCAAAAAAAGGCGAAAACTTTGAAAAATCGAAGTCAAAGTAGGATTTTTCACGCTGAAAAAGGGAAAAAGAGAAATTTTTCTTCAAAAAAGGTTAAAGAATTTCTTTTTCTTGTCTTTTTCTTTTCTTTTTCTCTTTTTCAATTTGTCTCTTGTATTTGTCTTTAAGATTACGGTAGCCAAGCAGTGAGGCGAGAATTAACAGTTAACACAAATATTTTTTCTCTTTTCTCAACCAAAAATGATGTGACGAAGAAGAAAAATTTCGCGTTTCTTTGCGTTTTTTCAGAGATTTTCTTGTTAATGAAATTTTGTTTGAATTTATTTTTCCCTTTTGACTATTAAAACTATAGTTTATTGCACTTACACTACTGGACAATGAAATATGATATTTGAAAAAAGATCGTCACTTTCGCTCGTCTGTAACTCCGTTGTCTTTACCGTATTTCTAAATATTAATATTACCATTGTGTAGCCCTTGAAAAGAGCTTTCAGAAAATGTAGAGCACTAATAGTTTAAACTCGAAGGCAAGGGAGTTACAGACGCGCGAAAGTGATGATCTTTTTTCAAATATCATATTTCATTGTCCAGTACTGTACATCTTGAAGCAAAAAGAACAGAAATGTTTGTAAGATCTCTATTCTCTAACAAAAGCATTATTGCTGTGATATCATAAGTGCTAAGAAAAAAGTGTTAAGCCTTGACCAGCCCCCGCTCCTTTTTTTTGAACAAATTAGAAGAAAGGAGGAAAGCAAGAAGGAAAGAAAGGAAGAAGGAATGAAAGAACGATTTTGCAAAGCCTCTTCCTCTTCTTCTTCCTCTTCTTCTTCTTCTCCTCCTTCTTCTTCTCCTTCTTCTTCTCCTTCTTCTTCCTCTTCTTCTTCTCCTTCTTCCTCTTCTCCTTCTCCTTCTTCCTCTTCTCCTTCTCCTTCTTCTCCTTCTTCTTCCTCTTCTCCTTCTCCTTCTTCTCCTTCTTCTTCTCCTTCCTCTTCTCCTTCTCTTCTCTCCTTCTCCTTCTCCTTCTCTTTCTCCTTCTTCTTCTTCTTCTCCTTCTCCCTTCTCCTTCTCCTTCTCCTTCTCCTTCTCCTTCTCCTTCTCCTTCTCCCTTCCTCCTTCTCCTTCTCCTTCTCCTTCTCCTTCTCCTTCTCCTTCTCCTTCTCCTTCTTCTCCTCCTTCTCCTTCTCCTTCTCCTTCTCTTTCTCCTTCTTCTTCTTCTTCTCCTTCTCCTTCTCCTTCTCCTTCTCCTTCTCCTTCTTCTCCTCCTTCTCCTTCTCCTTCTCTTTCTCCTTCTTCTTCTTCTTCTCCTTCTCCTTCCTCCTTCTCCTTCTCCTTCTCCTTCTCCTTCTCCTTCTCCTTCTCCTTCTCCCTTCTCCTTCTCTCCTTCTCCTTCTTCTCCTCCTTCTCCTTCTCCTCCTCCTTCTCTTTCTCCCTTCTTCTTCTTCTCCCTCTCCTTCTCCTTCTCCTTCTCCTTCTCCTTCCTCCTTCTCCTTCTCCTTCTCCTTCTCCTTCTCCTTCTCCTTCTCCTTCTCCCTTCTCCTTCTCCTTCCCCTTCTCCTTCTCCTTCTCCTTCCTCTCCTCCTTCTCCTTCTCCTTCTCCTTCTCTTTCTCCTTCTTCTTCTTCTTCTCCCTTCTTCTTCTCCCTCTCCTTCTCCCTTCTCCTTCTCCTTCTCCTTCTCCTTCTTCTCCTCCTTCTTCTCCTCCTTCTTCTTCCTCTTCTCCTTCTTCTCCTTCTTCTCCTTCTTCCTCTTCCCCTTCTTCCCCTTCTTCTCCTCCTTGTCTTACAAAAATTTACGATTTACCTCATTCATGCTAATGGCTTACATGTGTGAACTTTTTCTTTAAAGTTTCCAATTAAGTTTGATGTTTTTTGAACTTCTTTAGTTTCCAAAGCTTCTTTAGTTTCTCTAAAGCTTTTAATATTTAAAAAGTGTCTTTTCTCAAACCACCGTAATTATATTTGATTTTTATCCAATTCAATTCAATCTATTCGCTTTTTATTTATTATTGGTTTTTCCATTAACATAAAATTATCAATTTCTATATTAAAGCATGTGTTTATCTGAACTTTATCCCTCTTTCTTTCTTTCTTCCTTCCTTCCTCTTTCTTCCTTCCTTCCTTTCTTCTTCTTTCCTTCCTTCCTTTCTTCCTTCCTCTCTTCCTCTCTTCTTCTCTTCTTCTCTTCTTCTCTTCTTCTCTTCTTCTCCGTTATCTTTCCCTCTTTCTCTTGACAAGTTAAGGACCGAATAGCTCAGTGGTTAGAGCAATTGCTCAAGCATTTGCTCAAGCACAAGATCGAGATTTCAATCCTCTCTCTAAAACTCTCCTTTTGCGAATTCCTTCACTTCTTTAACACTAAAATTCTTACTAGAGCTACAAGTTGAAGCCTTTTTCTCTATTTTATTCAATTTTGCGAATTTTGAACCAATTTTGAATCAATTTTCACTTATCCTAACTGTCTTTTTTGAAAAATTCACCTGTCAACTTTTACTTTCAAAAAAAAGAAACTTTTCGAATAGTACAAAACCTTTTTTTACTGAAAATCGATTTTTTTAGTCTTTTTTATCTCTTTTCATCTTTCAAATTGCAAAAAAAAACTTTTTTCTTTAAGAAAATGTTTCAGAAAAAAAACGCGGTCAGCGGTCGGAAATTGAATTTTTTTTTTCAAGCATGGAAAAGAATGGAAAAACTTGAATAAGTGGCAAACTTTTGACTCTCATTTTCAAGTTATCGTTCTTTGAATGCGTATAACGTTTTGCGTATAACGCTAACGATCTCACAAAGTGAATTCTTTCGATTTTTGTTCTAAGTCTTCTCCTTTTCATCGTTTTCTTTTCCTTTTTGCATTCCAGGACAAAGTACACTCCAGGACAAGGAGCAGTCTAGGACAAAGTACACTCCAGGACAAAGTACACTCCAGGACAAAGCACACTTCAGGACAAAGTACAGTCCAGGACAAAGTACACTCCAGGACAAGGAGCAGTCCAGGACAAAGTACACTCCAGGACAAAGTACACTCCAGGACAAAGCACACTTCAGGACAATCGACGAGGGCAAACGCAGCGCATAGCGCACCAGAATCTAGCACACCAGAATCTAGCACACCAGAATCTAGCACACCAGAATCTAGCACACCAGAATCTAGCGCACGAGAATCTAGCACACCAGAATCTAGCGCACGAGAATCTAGCGCAACAGAATCATATGAAATCCGTGAATACTGAGGTGTGCCCATCTCATTTCATCCGTTTTCTCCAATTCTCAAAAGCCAACTCCGCTGAGCAAATATTTTCATTGAAAGTCCTGTTCTTGTGGAGTTCAATCGATTTTCTCTTTTTCTCATTGTCTTTTATCGCTTTCAGAATTCGCTTCAGAATTCGCATTTAATTCTTGCACTTTTAGGTAATGAACCTGACGATAGAGTCAATCCCTCGCTCTCCCACTCTTCACATCACCTCCCCATCCACTTCACAACTATCCGATGATTACACAATTGAAACTCGCATTCTGATGACGATGATCTTCACATCATTGTCGATTATCGGAGTTGTCGGTAATGCGATGGTGGTGCTCGTTGTGACAACAGTGAAAGGAATGGTAAGTGATGATGATTCTTATCATTCTTGAGCTCTAAAGATCATCCTTGAACGCTAAAGAACGCTAATAAGAAGGAATTCTCAACTGGGTATAATGGCTAAACATTTAACTTTGTAAATCCAAAAAAGGAGAGCAGCTGACTCGAGCTAGAGCACTCGAGCTAGAGCACTCGAGCTAGAGCACTCGAGCTAGAGCACTCGAGCTAGAGCACTCGAGCTAGAGCACTCGAGCTAGAGCACTCGAGCTAGAGCACTCGAGCTAGAGCACTCGAGCTAGAGCACTCGAGCTAGAGCACTCGAGCTAGAGCACTCGAGCTAGAGCACTCGAGCTAGAGCACTCGAGCTAGAGCACTCGAGCTAGAGCACTCGAGCTAGAGCACTCGAGCTAGAGCACTCGAGCTAGAGCACTCGAGCTAGAGCACTCGAGCTAGAGCACTCGAACTCGAACTCTGTCTTGTATTCTAACGCACTGCCAGTCGGCACTGCCACTCGGCCATCACCGCCACTTGAGGCCTCTTGGAAAACTCTTATAAACTCACGGTGCGATTGTCCTAGACATCCTAGTCCTAGAATCCTAGACAAAACTTTGAGCGCTTATAACTTTTGACAGAGTACTCTATAGCTGAAACGGAAAGCAGAATCGGAATCAGCGTGAAATTCTGTGTCAAATGATGGCTTATTTCATTCCCCTAGCACACACAGTTGGCATTGTCTTATGATTATAAGACAAACCAAGCTGTTAACCTGGCTTGGTACAGATTTAGAGTTAATCCGTAATTAAACAAACCTTCTAGCCGGATCTCAGAGTTTTTAAACTATTAGGCTTTTCAGTTTTCTCTTTTCTTTTTGTACTTTTCGTACGTTTAAAGATTTTCTAGACAAAGAAAAGAAGAAATAGAAAAGAAAAGACTTTCTGAAGCCAGAGCCAGCCAGATCCAGTCAGATCCAAGCCAGGAATCTTCCCTTAGACAGCTTTTAGCTTGGTCTGACTTTATTACAAGCTTGGCTCACAAAAACCGCAAAACAAGAGCTCTTCTGCCCTCTAGCCTGAAGCTTTTCGCAAGACCTCTGGACCCAGAATTCAAGAAAAACTCTCATAACTAACTCAAAACATTTTATAAATCATTTTATAAATCATCATTTGTCTAGGCAAGCACCACCAATTGCTACCTCGTCTCACTGGCGATAGCTGACTCCACATTTTTCGTCGCCACTCTCCCAAGCGAGTTGATGTTTTTGCATGGCGGTGAGTCACTAATGCAAACATAAATTACGTTATAAAGTAATGTATCGAAAATGAGACATTGTCCAGTACCTAGGAAACTAGATCATAGCCAGTCGGGCGTCACTTGACCTGCAATCTGGACCTAATCTTGGGCCTAGGTTTGCCCTAGATCTGGCCCTCGGCCTAGATCTTGCCCTGATCCTGGATCTAGATCTGACCTTGATCCTGGATCTAGATCTGACCCTGATCCTGGGCCTAGGTCTGGCCCTGATCCTGGACCTAGATCGGCCCCGATCCTGGACCTAGATCTGGCCCTGATTCTGGATCTAGATCTGGCCCTGATCTTGGATCTAGATCTGGCCCTGATCCTGGACCTAGATCTGGCCCTGATCTTGGATCTAGATCTGGCCCTGATCCTGGACCTAGATCTGGCCCTGATCCTGGACCTAGATCGGCCCCGATCCTGGACCTAGATCTGGCCCTGATCCTGAGTCTAGATCTGGCTCTGATCCTGGGCCTAGATAGGCCCTGATCCTGGATCTAGATCTTGCCCTGATCCTGGATCTAGATCGGCATAGATCTGGCCCCGATCCTGGACCTAGATCTGGCCCTAGGTTGACCGGACTAAGCCAGAGCTTGTCCTAGAAACTGGGCTGGTCTAAAATTCGAAGCATTCTCTAAAATTCTATGCCTTTTTTCCAGATGGCGGCTGGTACCTGTTCGGCTCAATCGGTTGCTCATTTTTCACCTCTTTACCGTATTTCGCGTTGACTTCGTCCGTTCTTTCCATCACTGCTTTCACCGTTGAGCGATATTTAGGCATTTGCTATCCATACAAGCAATTGTGAGTTTTTATGGCTAGAAACGTCGATTCAATTGCCCAATCTTAGTGGGAATCTTACTGCCGAACAGTAAAGAAAGATCTTTCCATAAATTGTTGGCTCCTGAGATTTTGCCTCCGATAGTGCACGAGTCCACCATGGGAATTTTTCCTTTCGATAAATCAAAAATCTGATTACAACAAGTTTTAGTGTGCATTCCAGATAAGCTTAAAACAAAATATCTTGAAGATCGGTGGCTTCAAAAAGGAGCTAGACTCTCGACAAGGTTCTACAGTCATAAACCGAGTTGTTTACGTTGTTTAAAAAGCTGAAAAATGATCCTTTTCTTAAAAAATGCTTTTGCTATAAAGCTATTTTTCCTATTTTTCCTATTTCCTTTGATAAGTTTCCTCGTTTGAGCTTTTCCAGATTTCCAGATCTCGATTTTGGTTCGACTTTCACGCGATCTCTATTTTTATGTACGAATTTGAAAAGAAAACAAGAATAAGCAAGGAAACACTTTGTAAATTGTCTACTTTTATTTAAGTGAGAAGAAAAGATAGCTAGTTGTTATGTAAATTTCGGTTGGAAACTCGATTTATGTCTGTAGAACCTTGTCGAGAGTCTAGCTCGAGAGTCTAGCTCCTTTTTGAAGTGTCCGATCTTCAAGATATTTTGTTTTAAGCTTATCTGGAATGCACACTAAAACTTTTTGTAATCAGATTTTTGATTTACTTAAAGGAAAACTTTAAAGACTTGAACAAGTCTTGAAGGCTTGAAGTCCTTGAAGCCTTGAGGTCCTTGAAGTCCTTGAAGCCTTGAAGCCTTGAAGTCCTTGAAGTCCTTGAAGGCTTGAAGTCCTTGAACTCCTTGAAGGCTTGAAGTCCTTGAACTCCTTGAAGGCTTGAAGTCCTTGAAGCCTTGAGGTCCTTGAAGTCCTTGAAGTCCTTGAAGTCCTTGAAGTCCTGGAAGGCTTGAAGGCTTGAAGTCCTTGAAGGCTTGAACTCCTTAAAGCTTAATCCTTTCAGAACGTGGTGCTCAGTGGCCAGAGCAAAAACGATAATCAAAGGGATTTGGCTATTCTCATTGCTTTACAACGCTCCATGGATTTACCTGGCAACAATTATGAATGAGGAAGATGGTTTGAAAATTTGCACTTTCGCTCTCGACAGGGATAATTGGTCCTACAAAGTGGGTCTTGAATTTAAAGATTTAAAGATAACTGAATAAGTTTTACAGTACTTCTTTATACCTCCCCATTTTTTCCTATGAATACCTGCTCATTTTGTGGGGTTTTGTGGCATTTTGTGGCATTCTGTGACATAGTTTTGTGAGGACATTAAGCCAAAGAGTTTGTAGTAATGGTAGTAATGTAGTAATCTAAATTAGGACAAATAAAAACCCCATAATAAGCACTTCGCTTGACCTTTGAATGATAGACAATTGCTGCGAAGAACACGCAATTTGTTCATTTGGTAATATTTAATAGAAAGTTGAGTCAAATGAGTTCCAGATTTCAATAGGATGTAGAGGTAGAACATACGAACAATAAACTAGTAAGCAGCACAATATAAATAGGCTGAATTGAGCTCTTTCCTCTTTCAAATAGGCTGGATTGAGCTCTTCAGTGATTTCTGAAGCTTTTGATGTTTTGATGTAAGGCTTTGAACAAACTTTGGCTTCTTGAACCACACTGTAAAGCTGAAACACTGAAAAATCTGGAGATCTGGAGAGATCCATCTGGAGATCTGGAGAGCTAGGTGGCAACTCAGAAAAAGAAATCAAGTACGGGAAGTTGTTTTGGCAGAACTCTTGAACTTACTTGGATTTGTGAGCTGGTGCGCCATCGTGCTGATAAACTATTTACAAGCTCAGAGCAAGAGCTCATCTTTGAGAAGAGCCAGGTAGTTATCAGAATTGACTTTCACGCCTTGGAAACAAATATGAGAGGAATCTTTCATGTTGCGGTGACGCCGAAAGCCATCACAGAAGCTGGATGTGCACTTCGAGAAACCGTAGCTAATCTGCTCTGGATCAATAAGTGATCTGCTCTGGATCAATAGCTGGGAAATAGCTGGGAAATAGCGGGAAATAGCGGGAAATAGCGGGAAATAGCGGGAAATGGCACTTCTAACGACTTTAAGACGCTTATGAATCTCCAGCGCCGAGATTTGTGCAATTCGATGATCGATTATTTCAATAGGATGTAGAGGCAGAACGACATTGAGCAACGTAAAAGACATCGAATCTTTAAAAGATCTAGAGGGCTAAAATGAAATGAAAATTCAATAAAAATCTGATCTGTTAGAGCGCATTGATATTGAATTTAGTCCTTCCTTCACCAAGGAATGAAAATAAACTTTCACATCATCATCAATCAAATGTTAGAGTCATCTTCATATGTAAATCTTGAATGATCCTTGTAAACGTCCACAAGATTTACTTCTAGATTACCATAGTAAAAAGTAGATTGAGCAGGTGTTGATGAATAGGAAGAGGAAGATGATGGTAAAGATGAATAGGAAGAGGAAGATGATGGTAAAGATGAATAGGAAGAGGAAGATGATGGTACAGATGAATAGGAAGAGGAAGATGATGGTAAAGATGAATAGGAAGAGGAAGATGATGGTAAAGATGAATAGGAAGAGGAAGATGATGGTACAGATGAATAGGAAGAGGAAGATGATGGTAAAGATGAATAGGAAGAGGAAGATGATGGTAAAGATGAATAGGAAGAGGAAGATGATGGTAAAGATGAATAGGAAGAGGAAGATGATGGTACAGATGAATAGGAAGAGGAAGATGATGGTACAGATGAATAGGAAGAGGAAGATGATGGTACAGATGAATAGGAAGAGGAAGATGATGGTAAAGATGAATAGGAAGAGGAAGATGATGGTACAGATGAATAGGAAGAGGAAGATGATGGTAAAGATGAATAGGAAGAGGAAGATGATGGTAAAGATGCATAGGAAGAGGAAGATGATGGTACAGATGAATAGGAATAGGAAAAAATGGAGAGGTAAAGTACCGATTTTTTCTTTAGGCAATCTACCTCTTCGACTTCTTCTCATTCTACGCAATTCCGATGTTGCTGAATATCGTTATTTACGTGAAAATCGCTATTCAAATCTCGCGATGTGGCACAAAAATGAAACACACGATGAATAAGAGTTTGTTTTCTTTTTATAACACCAAACAATTCCTAGCCAAGATTATCTGGTTCATACACTTTTTCTCCTACAGCTTCTAGAGCTTCTACAGCTTCTACAGCTTCTACAGCTTCTAGAGCTTCTACAGCTTCTACAGCTTCTACAGCTTCTACAGCTTCTACAGCTTCTACAGCTTCTACAGCTTCTACAGCTTCTACAGCTTCTAGAGCTTCTAGAGCTTCTACAGCTTCTAGAGCTTCTAGAGCTACCGTTCAAACGCGCGACATCGATTGCTAAACTTCCAATACAATAGACTTCTTTACAGAACACTCAAAAGCTGGTTAGGAAAAATTTGAATACTCAAAAGTTTTGTATTCAAAAGTACAAAAGTACCAAAAGTACAATCTTCATTGAAAGTAAATATGAAAAAATAGATTTGGAAAGCATGACGAAAAAGATTTTAGGTTTAAACAACAACAGCAGTCCGACAAAATCCGAGAGTAGTCAGGATTTCCACGTTTCCGGCAGTGCTCGGCAGCAAAAAGGGAGAAATTCGGTGAGATTCGTGTTTAAACTATGAAAAGCTGTTTTCAATGCTTCTTCAATGCTTCTCCGAATCAATTTCTTTAACGAAATTCCCGATGATATACTAATGACGATTATTTTTCGTCTCAACTCAACTTTTTAAGGACTTTTATTAGCTATTTCGTAGAAATTTCTTGATAACTTTATACTCATTTTTAAGAGGAGATTCAGGGCTATCGAATGACGATAATTATTTAGTTTATCATTCAATTTACACCAAATTACCATAAAAACTAATCGAAGTGTCCCCTACAGAAGCGTAGTCGAAGTTTACTCTCAAACAAACGTTCATATCTCGACACCAGTACGTTTATTTCTATTCGTTTAGATATCAAATTAAAGTAGAGAAAATGGGTAATTTTTTGAGATATTGCACAGAGTTTTAGCATTAATCAATGCCTAGAAAAAAAGTGTTTGAAAAATGATGAAAAATCGACTTTTTTTGGCACTTTTCAATCGAAAATTTACATTTGATATAATGTTTTTCAGCTCAAAATCCAACAAACATTCGTTTCTTTTATTGAATATTTTTAATCTACATAGCTCAAAGTACCGTAAAAACTCTAATAGAACGGTAAAAAGTGATTAAAGAGTGCCAAAAAAAGTCGATTTTTCATCATTTTTCAAACACTTCTTTCTAGGCATTGATTAATGCTAAAAATATGTGTTATATCTCAAAAAATTACCCATTTTCTCTACTTTAATTTAACATCTAAACGAATAGAAATAAATGCACTGGTGTCGAGATATGAGCGTTTGTTTGAGAGTAAACTTTGACTACGCTTCTAGAGGGGACACTTCTATTAGTTTTTACAGTATCATTGAAACAGTTAACGCTACGCGACTGTACGCTCAAGAATAGCATCTTCAGAATGCGTTAATTTGCATAGAACCTAGAAAGTACTGTTTTCTCTTTTTCTTGCTCTTTTTTTGATTGAATTGAATTGATTGATTGAATTGAATTGATTGAATTGATTGATTGAATTGATTGAATTGATTGATTGAATTGATTCAATTGATTGAATTGATTGATTGAATTGATTGATTGAATTGATTGAATTGATTGATTGAATTGATTGAATTGATTGATTGAATTGATTCAATTGATTCAATTGATTGATTGAATTGATTGATTGAATTGAATTGATTCAATTGATTCAATTGATTGATTGAATTGATTGATTCAATTGATTGATTCAATTGATTGATTGATTGAATTGATTGAATTGATTGATTGAATTGATTCAATTGATTCAATTGATTGATTGAATTGATTGATTGAATTGATTGATTGAATTGATTGAATTGATTCAATTGATTGATTGAATTGATTGATTGAATTGATTGAATTGATTCAATTGATTGATTGAATTGATTGATTCAATTGATTGATTCAATTGATTGAATTGATTGAATTGATTGAATTGATTGATTGAATTGAATTGATTGATTGAATTGATTGAATTGATTGAATTGATTGAATTGATTGATTCAATTGATTGATTCAATTGATTGATTGATTGAATTGATTGAATTGATTGAATTGATTGAATTGATTGAATTGATTGATTGAATTGAATTGATTGAATTGATTGAATTGATTGAATTGATTGAATTGATTGAATTGATTGATTGAATTGAATTGATTGAATTGATTGATTGATTGAATTGATTGATTGATTGAATTGATTGATTGAATTGATTGAATTGATTGATTGATTGAATTGATTGATTGAATTGATTGAATTGATTGATTGAATTGAATTGATTGAATTGATTGATTGATTGAATTGATTGAATTGATTGAATTGATTGATTGAATTGAATTGATTGAATTGATTGAATTGAATTGATTGAATTGATTGATTGAATTGATTTCTAGGTGGTGAAAATGTTGGCGATCGTCGTGTTAGTGTTCGCTGTTTGTTGGCTTCCTTATAAAGCGATGGTTATGCACAACTCGTTCTCGCACGTCGGCAACAAATGGGATTCAGAAGCGTGAGTTGATAAACCTTTTTGAAAAGATATTATTGGAAGATATTAGCTTTTGACTGAGTAAGCTTTTTGCTAAGTAAGCTTTTAACTAAGTAAGCTTTTGACTGAGTAAGCTTTGACTAAGTAAGCTTTTGACTCTTTTGTTTCACAAAGGAAAAGGAAGGGATCGAAGCCGAGCAGAAACATCATAGCTTTTTTCGGAAACAAGACTCTTATCCACTACACAAGCTCACATTTCGAGATGGTGAAAGAAGCATTAAAAGGGATTGATTTTTGGCCTCAGACTGTTTGCCAGATTCCTCAGGTCGAATCATTTTGCAAAAACAGATATCAAGATCGGAATGAGCGTAAAATTCTGCTATACGGCTCATGCCATTTGGCCACTTCAGTCTTGTAGCCTTTCCTTTGTTGGATAACTGAAGGAATTGTTGGATAACTGAACTAATCAATTAATCAAATCTCGATTTCAGTTACATCTTTATCGCAAAGACGTTGGTTTTCATCAATTGTGCGATAAATCCAATCCTTTACAATGTGATGTCAAAGAAATTTCGTGGCGCATTTGCTCAGCTGTTGAAAGGACGCCGACCGACACGTACATACAATTCACCGAGTAGGTTTTATTGGGAAGTTAGAAATTATTAGAAATCATCAACGTTAGAAATCATCGGTAACGGTTAGAAATCATCGGGAAAAGTTAGAAATCATCAGTAAGCCTTAGAAATCATCGGGAAAAGTTAGAAATCATCAGAAAACGTTAGAAATCATCGGTAAACGTTATAAATCATCGGGAAAACTTAGAAATCATCGGGAAAACTTAGAAATCATCGGTAAATGTTAGAAATCATCAGTAAACATTAGAAATCATCGGTAAATGTTAGAAATCATCGGGAAAACTTAGAAATCATCGGGAAAAGTTAGAAATCATCAGTAAACATTAGAAATCATCAGTTAACATTAGAAATCATCAATAAACGTTAGAAATCATCGATAAAACTTAGAAATAATCGTAGTAATCTATTCATTTTTAATTGTCAGAAGATTTGTACAAAGATTTGTTCACTTCAATTGATTTTTTTAAGCTTTTAAATCATCAGATAGAGCTTTAAAGTTTATTTGGAAAAATTCTGTAAAAGTCGACTTTAAAGTGATCAATCTATTGAAAATTAGACTTAGAATTAGAGGAATGAACGGCTTTAGTTCATAGCATTGCTACAATGCTCAAAAATTTGCTTTTACCTATTACAGTATTCTCTTGGATTATACTGGTCTTAAAAGAAAGATTACAGTGCTTACTACAGTACCATTCCAGTGCTACAGTACCATTCCAGTACTACAGTACCATTACAGTACTATAGTACCATTCCAGTACTATAGTACCATTACAGTACTATAGTACCATTACAGTACTACAGTACCATTACAGTACTATAGTACCATTACAGTACTATAGTACCATTACAGTACTATAGTACCATTACAGTACTATAGTACCATTACAGTACTACAGTACCTTTATTCACACAAGCACCACTATTATTGTTCATAGATGTGACATTATCTTTCAATTTGGTGGAATTGTCTCGCTCGGAGACAATTCCCGTTTGTTCACAAAACGGTTTGGACATGTGTTTAATAGAGAAAGGTACGAACTCAAGAAGAGCTTTTTTCTGAAAACCTAGTGCACTTCGGGTATGAGAAATAGAAGTTTTAAAAGGCTCTTTAAAAGGCTCTTTAAAAGCTTTCCTATCGAAGAAAAGAACTCCTTACTGGTGGCCTAAGTAAGGACTGAATCTGTGGGCGTCAATGACTCTGTGAGTGGTAGTCTAGTTCCTTATCCACTAGACCATCAATGGCTCTTTAAAAGGCTCTTTAAAAGGCTCTTTAAAAGGCTCTTTAAAAGCTTTCCTATCCAAGAAAAGAACTCCTTACTGGTGGCCTAAGTAAGGACCGAATCTGTGGGCGTCAATGACTCTGTGAGCGGCAGTCTAGCGCATTATCCACTAGACCATCAATGGCTCTTTAAAAGCTTTCCTATCGAATAAAAGAACTCCTTACTGGTGGCCTAAGTAAGGACCGAATCTGTGGGCGTCAACGACTGTGTGAGCGGCTAGTTCCTTATCCACTAGACCAGTCTAGTTCCTTATCCACTAGACCACCAATGTACCTTTCCTCCGCTAGGAAAAAGCTTTTTAAAGCATTCATTTTGAGGCCAAATTTTCGATTAAACTTGAAACTCATTTGGGAGGTGTTTTCCTTTCTGTTACCGGATTTCTGATTTGAGATTCTGTTTCCTCATACCCGATTCTATAAAGTGCCAGGCAAAAGCTCACCTTCAGTTCCTGTCTTTCACTAGTTAGATTAACTTTTTGGTGCAATTCTATCTTTTGTTTTCCTTTCTGTTATTTTCTATAGAAATCTCTCAATTACTTTTTTTTACTTTTTCTTATTTCTCTAGCCGGAAGAACAATGACTTTATAGCTTTCGTAAGTTTAAAAGTGTCTTAGTTCATTTAGCGATTTATTTTTGGAATGTTTGAGTTTTTGATTTAGAAAAGGATTTACTTTTAAAGTGCTTAAACTGAATAACTTTTGATTTTGAATAAAAACTGATTGAAATTTTTAACGGGCAAGATCGGCCAAGCAATTCAGATCTACTGCAATTTTCATAAACGAGAAATGTTCCAACTAGGTTCTAGTACTTGGAGCACTTGGATTTTGATATCTGCCCTGATTCTGACTGATTTACAGGATTCAGTTGAATGGAATTTTCTAAGTTCTAGAAGTTCTAGTTTCTAGGATCTAGTTTCTAGTGGGTCAGAACGAGGACAAAAGCCAAGTCCGACCCAGATCTGACCTCTGATCTGACTTCTGATCTGACCCAGGCAATCCACTGACTCCAGTGGGATGTTCTGACTTAAAAATACTTTAACTGACTAGGCCAGAAGACTCAGGGCTAAGCCAATCAGCGCTAAGCCAGAAGCCAAGTCTAGCTCGGTCCAGGTCGGTCTAGCTCGGTCCAGGTCGGTCCAGGTCGGTCCAGGTCGGTCCAGCTCGATCCAGGTCGGTCCAGCTCGGTCCAGCTCGATCCAGCTCGGTCCGGCTCGGTCCAGCTCGATCCAGGTCGGTCCAGGTCGGTTCAGCTCGATCCAGGTCGGTCCAAGTCTAGTCATGGCTTAGGTCTAGACATGACATGGCTCTTGGACCTTGAAGCCGACTTCTCTGGCTTCTGTGGCTCTCTGGCAACGATAAAACTCTGGCATCGACAACGATGGCAACGATTCCCAACAATTCTCATAAGATAAAAGATATTCAGTTAAAGAGCAATACCTTATAGCAATTGAAATTGAATAAATGCAAATTCCAGAGACGGGCACGTCATTCTTAGCTCCTCGGCCAGCCTCCTCGCAAGATCGGCGCCCAAGTGGCGATGAAGAGAGATCATTGATGGGATCAAGAGAAAGATTTCTCGATGAACAACCACCGAACAGTCCCTTAACACACTCAGCTACCAATCCCGCAAGAAAACACTCTCAGAATGGTCATAAGAACTCTGTGCGCTTCTCGCCGCGTACACAACTCGGCTCACCGCTTGTCTCTGATGGAATCATTGTTGAGTTGTAGACATGTTTAATGGGAAAATGGCATGGATAAGTGGTGATAAAGGATATTATTAAAAAGCTGATAGATATAGGAAAGTCAAAAGGAAATCAAAAGTCAAAAGGAACTTGATTCAAGAATTTACTGAATTTGATATGATTTTGGATAGATATCGATTGGATTAACGTTTAAAACTAAAATCTAAAGGCTAAAATGAATCCAATCAGCCCTGTACTATCTATTATGATCATTTATCCATAAAAGTTTTTCCAAATTCCATTTCTAAACATGTCTATCACAGTAAACTTGTTCTCCGGTGTGTACTTTGTGCTGAAATTTGTAAACACACGCTTTCCAGTGCACTGGTTTCTTCGTTTTCTTGCGAAATCATGAAATTTCTGTAGGAAACTGAAGAAACTGTGGAAAACTGAAGAAACTATAGGAAACTGAAGAAACTGTAGGAAACTGAAGAAACTCCCGGAATTCACTGCTCCAGGCAGCTACTATTCACAGATTTAAGCATAAAGTACCAATTTTTAAACTAAAACTACGATTTACTACGATTTGTACATAGTATTTCTCTATTTTTTCCCTCAATTTATTTGCCTTATCACATGTTTAACTAAACCTTTTTCCGATTTTGAGTGAAATTTGTCGACAAACTCCGGTTAATTTTCATTTAACGGGTGCCCGGATGCGCATATTAATGTATTTTTTTATGATTTTTATGATTTTCATGTCTTTTTCTTAAAAAGTGCTTCTTTTTTGTGTACTTTGAGTGGAAAAAGTAAAGGATTCTTTTGGGTACTTTTGTAAGAAGTTAAGGTATTCTTTTGGGTACTTTTGTAATCATTGAAAGTATCCTTTTTGGTACTTTCACAAGAAGTTAAAGTATTCTTTTCGGTACTGTCGAAAGAAGTGAAGGTATCCTTTTGCGTACTTTCACAAGAAGTGAAAGTACTCTTTTGCGTACTTTCACAAGAAGTGAAAGTACTCTTTTGCGTACTTTCACAAGAAGTGAAGGTATCCTTTTGCGTACTTTCACAAGAAGTGAAAGTACTCTTTTGCGTACTTTCACAAGAAGTGAAGGTATCCTTTTGCGTACTTTCACAAGAAGTGAAAGTACTCTTTTGCGTACTTTCACAAGAAGTGAAGGTATCCTTTTGCGTACTTTCACAAGAAGTTAAAGTATTCTTTTCGGTACTGTCGAAAGAAGTGAAGGTATCCTTTTGCGTACTTTCGCAAGAAGTTAAGGTATTCTTTTGGGTACTGTCGAAAGAAGTGAAGGTATCCTTTTGCGTACTTTCGCACGAAGTGAAGGTACTCTTTTGTGTACTTTCGCAAGAAATGAAAGTATTCTTTTGTGTACTTTCGCACGAAGTGAAGGTATCCTTTTGCGTACTTTCACAAGAAATGAAAGTACTCTTTTGCGTACTTTCACAAGAAGTGAAAGTACTCTTTTGGGTATCATCATTGAAAGTATTCTTTTCGGTACTGTCGAAAGAAGTGAAAGTACTCTTTTGTGTACTTTTGTAATCATTGAAAGTATTCTTTTGGGTACTTTCGTAATCATTGAAAGTATTCTTTTGAGTACTTTTGTAATCAGTGAAAGTATCTACACTAGCGCTTTTAAAAACCCACAAATTCTCCCCCAACTCTCTTCTTTTTCTTTCTTCTACAGGGTGGCTGATAATTACGTGCGCCAAAGAAAACGCCATAATTTAATTTTCTTTCAAAGAAAATGTAAAAATCTTTATTTATATAATAGTTGTAACAAAAGCATTTAATAATCACAAGAAATTTTCGAAGTGGCCTCCATCCGCTTTGATACAGGCTTCAATTCGCTTCTTTACAGAATCGACGGTGCGGCGGAGATAATTTGCATCTAAGTCGTTCTAGATTTTGATCAATTCTCGACGTAAATCATTCAAATTGGTGATTTTTCTATTTCTCAATTGTTCTTCCATAAAACCCCAAACCAAAAGTCCAACGGATTGAGATCCGGGCTGTTTGCAGGCCATTGATCCTTCGTCAAAAAAGAGCCAATTTTGGTTTCGAGAAAGCGAATTGAGAATTCGAGAAAGTTGTTTTGGCTCCGTGGGCCGGCGCCCAATCTTGTTGAAGGGTCAAATTGGGATGGCTCCTCTTCCATGGCACGACAGCTTTCTCGAGAATCTCTTTTTGATAGACTTTTGCGTTAATCTTCACATTTTTATCGATAAAAACCAACGGGGGTCTTGCCCGAAGCACTGATGCCACCCCAAACCATCAAACTTTTTGGAAACAGACCTTTTGTAGCGACTTTTCGTTTACGAGTGCCCTTGAGAGCTGGACTGAGAAGTTGAAGGTGATTTTGTGAGTTTTTAGCCACTTCCAAGGTGAAAATCTTCTCATCTGACCAAAGAACATCGTCAATGCGCCGCACCTTGAAAAAAGCTCGCAATTTCTTGCATTTCTCCTTCCGGTTTTGCTTGGCTTGATCGGTGAGCACTTGCCCGTTTAACAGTCGATAACTTCGAAGTCCGAGCTCATTTTTCACTATCGATTGAACCGAGAAACGCGAAATTTGAAGCTGTTTTGCCATCTTGTTCAAACTACGATCGTCTTTTCGCTCGATCCTCCTCTTGATGATCCCACGCATCTTTCGGGTGTTAACGGTCCTCTTTGGTCCTCTTCCGGGCTTGGACTGAACATGCCCCTCATCTTTCCATTGCTTTACGATCTTCTGGATGGTCCTCAGAGCCACCCCAAGCCTCGATGCGATCGACGAGTTCTTCATGCCGCTCGTCGCCAGCTGTGCGATTGCGTCCCGACTAGCGCACGTCTTTGTCATGACCTAGAAAACAACTTTTTTAACAAAAAATTATTAGACCACGATAAAAGAATATTAAAACACAAAAAGATGAGTAGTAATGCTTTATACATTGTTTAAAACTATGATGCTGATGCTGCGCGCACGTAATTGTCAGCCACCCTGTATATTTATTTTTGCACAACGAACTTTTTTTCAATCATTTTCTACATTTTTACATTAATGGTGTGGTTTTGTATTGTATTTTTTTAATGAATAAAAGATGAAATCGCTGAATAAACAAGGATAACAACAGGAAAATAGATGAACATTTCGCTAAAATACAGTGCTAAAATACAGTGTGGTGCAATCGAAAATCTCTGGGCTTATTTGAAGACCAAAATCAAGGGAAGGAGCTTCAATTCGAAGGTGGAGCTTTGGTTCGTTATCAGAAAGGTAGAGCTTTAGTTTATCAGAAACATGTGGCGTCGAATTTCCCCGACTATCCTGCGTGATCTTGTCCTCTCGATGCCTAGGCGAATCAAGGCCGTCATTAATGCAAACGGAGGACCGACAAAGTCTGCCGACAGACAATATTATGTCTGTTTTCTATCTTGGCCTATTTTTTTTGCATCACACTGTATGTTATATTCGATGTAGACTAAATTGGATATCCGATTTAGATTCTAACAAAGGAAATGCACAAAATTCCCGTGAGCTTTCGTCTCCGGATCACATACTTCTTACGAAATCGAGTATGGAGATTCAGCATCTGAAACCAAAATATGCCAAATAAGCTTGCAAACGCGTAAAAATTAAATGGAAATTTTGAAGATAAGCTTTAAAGGTCGCTTTTCAATCATTGGGACATCGGCACCGGTGGCCTAGTGGATAGTGGAACGGCTCTCTCGGTCGTAAGATCGGTGTTCGGTCCCGCCCTTGGTTTTTGCTTATTTTTCTCTAAATGTAATACTTTACAGGTTTTTACCCGTTCGCTGAATTTCTCTTTTAACCGATAGAGCAAACGTAATTACGGAGCGTCGCGTTTGCGCAGAGACAGACAGACGGACAAACGGACAGACAGACAGACAGACAAGCAGACAGACAGACAGACAAACGGACAGACAAGCAGACAGACAGACGGACAGACAGACAAACGGATAGACAGACAAACGGATAGACAAGCAGACAGACGTCTATTCTGCTTGATATATAGTAGATAAGGTGTTGATGTAGCGTTTCAAGAGTGAAGAGTTTGAGTCTATGTTTATGCAGTGCGGTGCAAAACCATGCGCCACCCCCCTAAATTTCAATTTTCTGCGGCTCCCGTGCCAGTGACAAAAAACTGAAAACGTAGTTAGATTCAGGACCAAAAATAACCCTTAAACCCAAAAAATCATCGACATAGCATGAATAGGGAAAATGTAACAGCCAAAAAACGAAAATTAACCCGGTGCAAAACGTCACCTCCCAAATTTTGGTGTCGTTGTTGCATTTTTGTTCAATTTTTATGATAACAAGGTTTATTTATAACAATAACAGTTTAATATTTTGATTTCTGTCCCTGGCGACTGATCACGTCAAATATTCGACTCGGCATGCTGTCAACTAGCTTCTTGATGGTGCTTCTTGGAATGGTATTCCACTCGCGGGTAATGGCATCTTTGAGTGCTTGAAAATTTGCGTATTGTGTGGGATTGCCATAAACTCGACGAGCAAGCATTCCCCACAGATTCTCAATGGGGTTGAGATCGGGGGAGCACGCAGGCCAATCCAGAAGAGGCACTTGTTTTGACTGAAGCCATGACTTGGTTGCTCGGCTGACGTGGATGCTGGCGTTGTCTTGCTGTAGGGTGAGTTGGTGTTGTGGAAGACTTTACAGATATGGAAGAAGGTTGACCTCGAGCACATCGAGGTAATCTTGTGAGTTCATCTTGAATGTGACAAAGACGATTTCCAGTTTTCCATGAGATGAGAAGATGCCCTAACACATCACCGAACCCCTGCCGAAGTTTCGCTTTGAGAACAGTAATGGATCCTTGCGCAAGTCACGCCAATAAGAGTTTCCACCATCAGGCCCATCCAGGTTGAACTTTTTCTCGTCTGTGTAGATGATCTGAAACCAATAAAATTTGTTTTCTAAGTTTAAATACCTGATTCCAGTTAGTTGCCATGTTTGCGCGAGCAAAGAGCAACCTGTTCTGCTTGTGGATGGCAGTTAAGCGAGGTG